ATTATTTCAAGTCCATTTTTGTAGGTTTTGCATGTTCTGTTGCTTTACACCGATCAGTATCTTAATGCCTGTGAATCATTTTGATCGTTTTTTGTATATCTTTGATGTTTCTTGTGCACCACGCCCTCTTTTCATTAATGATCTGATCATTATTAAGCATGTGCATTCGCTACCTACTTGCATCCCGAAGTAAAAGAAATCCAGTATTGTTTTTTCTTTTTGCAAAATGAACAGATTTATTTCTATAATCAGTTTTAAATCACTACTTGCAAAACGAAGTGATGCCTTTGAGTGACTTCTCTGTTATTCTGCTTAGAAGACACATACAATATGCATGTGTGCAGTTCAGCTGTGAGGGGAAAGAAAATGCTGAAATCTGAAATTTGGCTTTAAATTAGCTTGAGTGTGAGTGTCTGAATAGCAGGGAGCATCCTGCTCGACATGCCTGTGCCTCTCCCTCTCTCTGTGCCTTTCTCTGGTTGAATTACTGCCAGAGTAAATGCTCTCTGGAGGTCTCGCGCTCTCTGCTCCCTCTGTCACCAAGCTAACTGAGGAATAATTCATCCCCACCAGCGGGGAAGTAAATCAGCCACCATGTCCAGCATGCACAGGGGCTGATTTCTCGAGATATGATGGCAGAGCGCACGAAGAGGACAGCTTCAAAATGAGGAAATAAATCAATCAAATGATTGGATTCAGTGTCCGAGTTACTGCATTGCTGAGAACGCTGACAAAAAGATCTCCAATTTAATGAGTCAGTTTGTGTATTACTGAGTCCTTCAATTTAAAATTATATGGCCAAAAAGGTCTGTGTCTATTTCAGGAACATTCGATTTAGTTTTGCATTTTCCTAGTTGGAAGTAGGCCAGTCACTTCTACTCAAATCAAATATTAATGGCATATACATGCAGTCCTGTAAGTTCACCCCATGATTCAATAGCTTGTGGAACCACGTTTAGCAGCAATAACCTGATAAGTTTCTGTATGACTACCTCACATTGTCTCTAAGTGTGTGTGCATCTCACATTGCTGTGGAGGAACTTTGGCCCTCTCTTCTTTTCAGTTCACTGAGTTTTCCATGTATTTCTTTTCTTACAGTCTCACCACAGCACTTCTGCATCGTCCTGCTGCAACCAACTTGGGCCAAGCTTTAGCTCTCACATTTGTTCATGGTTAACTCAAACAATGCAAGGTTGCAAAACAAGCCCAAATCATCACCCCTCCGCCACCATGCTTAACAATGTGTAAGAGGCATTTGTGCTGACATCCTGTGCTTGATTTTCTCCAGACTGTGCCTCTTAAAGTATCTCCACTTTGGTCTTGTGTGCCTAAAGGACGTTGTTCCAGACGTCTTGTGGTTTGTTCAGTTGTAGCTTTGCCATGTTCTTTTTAGAGAGAAGAGGTTTTCTCCTGGAAACCCTTCCAAACAAGCCATACTTGTACAGTCTTTTTCTAATTGTAATCTCATGAACTTTAACATCCTAACGCACTTAAATGCTTCATACCGTCACACTGTAATATCAAAGTTTCCCTATGAAAACATTCACCATTTGGGAACTCCCTTTCCTGTGTTGCTTCTCTAGTCAGTGCACACCCTGACTGGACCAGAAAGAAATCCAACTGCAAGAAAGGCTTCACCAGCCATCATCAGTGTTAGCTGATAATCCTCTTGTGAATTGGAGTAAATCTTTAAATTCAAGTTTCAGTGCTTCAAACCTGAAAAGAAGAGGCTACTTTAAGACTGGGGGGTCCACATATTTCGTTCAGGTATCTAAATAAATCCATGTCCATCTGGTTATTATTCAGACAAAGGTCAGCAGTTTTCAGTCAGTAGTTTTGTCCTATTGAAAC